GGCCACCTCTGGCCACTGTCGGCCACCTCGGGCCACTGTCGGCCACCTCGGGGTGGCCGGCACTGTGCCTAGCCACCTTGAGGTGGCTCGGCTCATGGCCGAGCCACCCCAAGGTGGCTCGGCCACCGAGCCACCTAGGTGGCTCGGCCGAGCCACCACTTGGTGGCTCGGCCACCGAGCCACCTTGGTGGCTCGGTGAGCCGCCTCGATGACTTGGTTTCCGAACCCCTCCGGGTGTTTGGTTTTCTGCTGTTTTCCACCTTTGGGTTCTGTCCGTGATTCGGTTGACCCAGACTCTGATTCGTTGATCTGATTTGGCAGTAAATTGATTCCTGATTTGGCAGTAAGTCGGATTCCTGATTTGGCAGTAAATCCACTTCTGAGTTCGAGTCCGAAACCGATCTTGATTCGATCGTGATTCGTCCGAGTATGCCCTTGGTTGGATGACTCGTTGACTCTTCGAACACTTGGCTTGATCCCGCACGCGAATGGACGTATTCCGTTGCTTGCGTGCGATTAGTCAATCTCGTTGCCTCGTTGGTTTGTCGGTTTGTGCCGAGCTGAGCTAAGGGACCTATAAGCAATTTTATATGCCTACAACACTCTTGATGATCTGTAACCTGTCTGCATAAGTTGTGTTTTCTTGTTCATTAGATGTATCCATGATTTAATTCATAACTAATTACTCGTTTCATATGCATTTTAAGTTATGAAGTGCTATCAACTTATCCAACACTTTCAATGTTTCTTATCCTCTTGATTTTCTTGCCTCTATTAAGCATTTTTATGTTCTTTTGCTAATAATTATGTTGAATCATAAAACTTTGTTTGTCTCCTTTTCTATTAACCACCAATAACTTCTTTGTTCCTATTAACTTTAGACTACAAAGATTAACTAATAAAACATATTAGCTATCTATCTTCTTCTTATCGAGCGAATCAGAATACACAAACTTATATATGATATATTTGATTGAATTGCATATAAATTTTAGTTTCTTATATGAACTCTAGATTAATTTGTCTCTTGATTGAAATTCTTTAATTTGGATTAAAAAATTAACCTATACAATTTTCATGAACTGAGCTATTCAAACAGTATCTTGATATCGGTTGGGATTCCATCTTGCTATTATAGCTTTTGTAATCTTATATCTAATAATGATTTTTGCTATTTCAACAACATATTAGACATTTAATACTAATTTTTTATTTAATGGTCTTCGTACCTGTCGTGCATGAAATATTACTAATAACTTCTTAAACTAAGCACGCCACAAGTGTGTCGTACTAGTGTAGCTAAAAACAATTAGCCAGCTCTGGATCACACAATCGGTAAATAAAAATAGTTTAAATATTCTGCACATTTCTATACCAACAGTCATCTCAAGTGAATATTTGTTTCGCATTCAATTAATCCTTCACTAAAAAGCTACTCAAAGAGCTATTCTGGCTTTTGACTGTATCAATCCCATCCCTGATCACTAAGCTAAAAATTATAAAAGCTGAGATGTTATCATAATCACTCCTCCACCTCCTGGGTATGTAAACATACTGCCTTTTGATTTTATTAAATTTTTTTTAAAGGAAACATTTTGATTGCTTATGGAAAAAAATATATAGTGTGAGGTAGAGCTTAATTCTTAAGACAAAATATAAATTTTGTTCTCACCTGTCAAACTTTATAGCTGGCATCCTAACAGAGGACCAACGCTAAATACCTATCATCACAATGATCGCGTATCGTAAAAGGTGTTGACATTTTAAGTTTTACACTCCCCCCTCACTTGCTCAATTATATGATCACACCTCATCATCTTTTTGCATGGTCCACTCCACTGTGAGGTTTTAAGCAGACACAAGTACATAAAAGAGAGAGGGCCACTTCAGCAGTTGCTACAAAATATTTGAACCTGATAAGTCACATTAAATGATTATGAAGTTTCTCGCTGTGTTCTTTTTGTTTCCGAGTACCCAATTTTTCCTGACAATGGGCCTCATCAAGAGGTAGGTAAGGAGATAAGTCCAGAACCAAGGAAATAATGCCAAAGTTTCCAGAGAATCTAGACACATAAATAAATTCATAAAGTATAATGAAATTTTATGAATATGATGCAACTCAAAGGGTTGGTCACCAAGCAGCAAAAGAACAACTATTGCAGTAAGAGCCTGGTGGTTAAAAAAAAAAACTAGACGGTGGCATCCCTTATTTTTTTTAAATTTTTTTTTATTTTATTTTGATGGTTTTTGAACCCACAAACTTTAGATGTGTGCTCTTGAAGCAATGATAATAGGTTCACGCTTTCACCTATGCTTTTATAACAAAGGGAAGAAAAAGATCAAAGGATTGTAGTCAAAATGTGAAGTTGTTGGTGTTGATAAGAATTTGCAGAGGAAATCTCCCTTAAAGAGAATAGCATTGAATGATAGCAGCTAACCACAAAAGCAAAAGCTAGAAAGCGTGAAATTGGGAGAAAATGAAGAAAATTACAAAAAAAAAAATGATGTGGATCACATCCAATGAAAACCTATAACAATGCAAAGGTAGGACAAAAAAGAAATGAAAGCTCAGGGTGGCTATAAATAATGGATAGGAGACAGGTATAGTATTTATCATGAAAAGATAACTTCATTCATGATTACAATGCAAATAAAGCAATTGAGGGAACCATCTGATTATGGTCCGCACTTGCATCCTTCTAGTGTAAAGACATCTGAAGTGATTATTCTGATTATTTGATTAAGGTTATCCCGAGATTAATATAGGCATTTAAAAAAGTTAACATGATTTATCAAAAAATTTTTTGTGATGTTTAAATCAGTGCAAGGAATACTTTACTAAAGTAAAGAAATGAAAACTTAAATGACAAGTTGAATGATCATGATAACCACGGGAATAGAGTTTAAGTATAGACTTCACTTTCTTGTATCATTATGTTGTGTACCATAATACGTGCTCATTTGTGACCGGCTCATGTTTTATATTAAACAAACAAAGATGCAAAAACTTATTTAAAATGATCAAAGAGAAAAGGTGAAGAGTACTCGAAGGAATGTTAGGATAATTTTAAAGACACTAGATGAGAAAGTCCTTTCTCATTCTCTCTACGACCAAATGAATGTGAAGAACATTGAATTGTCATAAGAATAGTAGCACAGTGTGCACACAATAGTTTCGAGGATCATTGTGTCAAACAACTCAAGGTCATTTATCAAAAGTTATAAAAGAACATAACAATAATTTTGAACTAGCAACAGCAAGCTGTATCTAATAGTATTGTAGCAAATATCAGAGCAATTTGTATTTCCAAATCCTCCAACAATAAAAGATCTAAATAACTAAGTAGCAGGATACTTCGGCTAGCTGCAATAGTAAAATTTACCACATATATTACGGTATTACTAAACAGTGCAACTATTAATGCCAACTTGATACAGTCTCGAAGCCGTCATAAGAAGTTACATTTTAGTCACCACTTATACCCTTTTTACAAGCTTTACGATCAGTAAATATAAGAGGGGAAAAAACCCACAGAACAGAGGAAAGGAAACTTGAAGCAGTCAATTATGCATTTTCAAGCTTTACACCAAACATTCACTACTATGAGATACAATTGAGCCTTTCTAAAGGAACACTCTTATAATCAAACAGAATTCATAATTACATACAGATATATCACCCCTGGATGATATACCTAAATACCATTTAAAAAATTACGGAAAAAAAATATCACATTGGTTAGTTACTAGTTTCTACAACATACTCTCACCATCTAACATCTAACTCCCTCACTTTGTATAACTCAAATCCAATCCATATTCTTATACGGATTCGCTAGCAGAATTGCCATCAGAACTTTCTTTGCTGAGTTTAGATTTTGGTAATGAAAATGATGGTAGACGAGTAGATGATTTAACTGCTTGCTGCTGGCAGCCTAGCAAGTTAAGATAAGTGTACAATGACATACCTCCAAGTGCTGTTATAGCTCCACAGATACTCAACATCCCTGGATTTGAATTGAAAAGGAGGAAACCACCAATAAGAATGACACATGTTTTGAACTGACCAAGTACTACATGAGAGGTTGCAGATGTTGCCCTGTGATTGATATAATTGTTGAAGTCAGTTTTAGAATCAAATCATTAGAACCATTAATGCATAAATTTTCAGCGACTACAATTTATCAGCTTCATATGAGTCTTACTTAATGCAATATGGTTGAGTAAGCATATAAAGAGATCTATAAATAATCATTTGCATATGCTAGTTTTACAAAAATATATCATAATGGTTATTTATTTATAACCATTCAAGCCATTGTTAAAAAAATAATAATAGTAACTCACAACACAAGCAAAAATTAAATATAGGGTTAATTGTGGTAGACTGTGATATTGCCAAATTGAACTAATTACCCCTGTAATTCTATTGTGGAAAATATTCCCCATAAAAGAGTTCTATAGCTGCAGATAAACCCCTTAGTGAAAATCTATTGCTGCAGATAGACCCACTTGAAAATGGTCAAAAACATTTCAGTCTAGGGCCTATATGCAACAATAGAACTACAAGGGCGGTAAGTTCAATTTGGTGATAGTACAAGGGGTTTATCTGCAATTAACCTATAAATAGATGTATTACAACTTTGGCTAAGTTCAAAGTGATAGCTTCAGTTCATGTACAACTCCCGCCTAGATCCAAGACAAAAAAAAAGTATATGATTACAGATCCGAGCAATACCAATATCATTAAGGTGCAAACTAGGTCCATCATTTTCAATTTGGGTGCATATATGAATGCAACATATACGCAACATTTCTGTAATATAATCACTATTAGAAAATGAGAAGAAATCTGTAGTATTATTCATATTATATGAATCTTACCCAAGAGCCAAAGCACCAGACCACTGGAGTAGGAAGCCAAGAACAGCTGACATAAAAATAGCTAATGTATTACGGAAGTTCCAATCGAAGGACAGAGCACCTGGTGGGTCAAGCCAAGGCATCAAAGCCACCAAAAAGAGAAGAGTAATTGGTGTTGTCTTCCACATTAAACTGTTTTGAGTCTCAAAAATTAGGCAATATACGCAAGATTATAGCATGCTGAAAAGATTTAATATCAAAGAGGCTTTATTTTATAAATGATCACATACGCTAAAGCAGTCCAATTCTCTTGCTGCTGTAGATTGGACCATAGTATCTTATTTACCGCACTAGGTATAATCCATGCCAAAGCTATACATGCACCAAAAAAATGGAACTCAAGATCTGTAACTGTTGCAACCGCAACGCCAATAGAAACAACGGTCAATGCTAGTACCTGGAGGATCAAAATAAGTGAATTAAATAAACATTCTACCCAATATAAAGAACTATATAAAGGAAGGAAACTGCTCAGTCAAATTTCTCTCTTGATAAGCCACTGCCACAATGCATACAAGAAAATTCAATAAATTAATTCATCATAAAGTAAAAAAGCTGCATTTACCTTCTGAAAAGAAACTGTCTTTTGAAAGAGCATAAATTCGGCTAGAACAATTGATGGGGTGACAGCAATTTTAGCCATCTGATAGAAACCCACACTGAAAATAAACAGTTCAAGATTTGAGAACTAAGAAAAACAATAGAAAACTTATGAAGAGTAAGGGTCTAGAAGTACCTGTTATACTTCAAACTGACGTTTGCAAGTCCATTAGAGAGAGACATGACAATCCCAAGAGCTAAAAGAGAAGAATATGAGGTAGTCTTGGAAAGAGGAGATGCCGGAAGAAACGAGAAGAAATTCATAATCGCCATCAAGAACCAACTCAAGCTATAGTGGATGAAGGTTAGAAATATTGGATAATTGAAACCCACTTTTCCAAGCACCTAAAATAACAAGAATCAAGATGGTAAATAATGTTCGATTATATCTACCTAATATCAAAACAGTAGTAGATAAGAAATAGTTAATTACCAATTTGTTCATCAATATAATGCCGACAGAAACTAAGAAATTGAAAGAGAGGGCAACTGTTGGGCCACAAAGTCTTTGCTGCAGCCTCTTGGCCCCATCTGATGTTCTCAGTTCACTGAAGAGAGAAGCTCTCAGGTCTTCTAATGCTCTTCCTGATTCCATTAAGGGAACATCAGCATCCATTGACAAGAGAGAAAGAGAATGAAAAATATTCATCCCAATGTTATCCTTACATGAGTAAGAAGCACATTGTCATTTGAAGTAAAGCAAACAACCATAGCAAGATTCAGGGAAAGATGCTTTCCTAATTCAGCTCTTAAAATATTAAATTGAAAAAACCAGAAGTGCAGATGCTTTTAGTTTCAAATTGTTAGAAAATGGCACAATCATCTATTTGCAGCATGCTGCAATAAATGGGTGGACTTTTCAGTGAGCAATAAAAAGTACTCTTTACATCTCCACCTTGTTCTCAAGCCAAAATTATCAGTCAAGCTATTTGAATCTCCATTTCTAACCTTCAGCAAATAAACAGGCTTGCTAATATAATATAGACATTACAAACCATACTCTGACAAAGATTTAATAATAAGTATTGATGGAAGAAAAGACACATTGCATCACATAATTTGACCCAAAATGGTCACATCTTTATATATATTGTTCCTAAATCCTTTTAAAAAAAGAAATATAATTATATCAGAATTCAGATAAATAGTCTTTCACTTCCTCTATAAATATCATGAAACTTTTCATGGAAAACTATACATTGATTTATTAATTCAACTAACTGCTGCAAGAACTGACTAAAGCTTCCACTGAAATTTAACAATACTCTCCAATCTAAACAAGATTTACATTGTAAACTCTTTTGACTAAGTCCTAATGCTAGGTATAGGAACAAAGAATTCAGTTATCGCATTCCGCCATTTGGTCAATTTTTTTTTTAATCTCTTCAATAGAATCAGTTGTTCCTAAGTCCCAAGTAAAAGATTGGGGCACATTAGGTAATCAGATTACAACACGTCCACAATTGGAGCTATACCAATTTCAAATGCTCTAATGTAATGAAACCTCTAAACATTCAATTAAAAAAAAAGGAGGGAATAGATCAGACTACAATATAAAATTTGATCATTGATCTAATCAAAGAAATGCTATAATAACGGACTAAACTTCCACTGTTTATCATCAATATATTCTCAAACTAGCCAATCCGACATCAAAAGTGTTGATGACTCTCTCTAATTTCAGGGCAAAATCAAACCCACTATCTCAATAGCACTGTATAATACATGCATTGGGGCAGTTACAAAATAAAATTGCATCTATATGATATCCTTGTATTCAAACCAAAAAAATTGACAACAAACCCATAAATTAATTGTACTAAAAATGAAGAATCCACCCAAAAAAATGCAGCAATATGAGCCGAAATCCCGCCCAATACATATCGATACAATCTTCACCAAATGAAAGTTTTCGATAGCCCCAAAACATATCATCATAAAAAAAGAGATGGGCTTTAAAAAAAAGAAAGGGAGAGACCTCTATCGCCGGCATCACTGTCTTTACGCTTGAGGAATTTCCTAACGTCCTTTCTCAACAGGAAATTCATCACTTTCCTACTGCAAAGCATCCTTCAAATCCAAACAAAAAAAATCAAACCCAATGGGGGGGGGGGGGAGAGAGAGAGAGAGAGAGAGTTGGGCGAGATTAAAAAGGAAGGAGAGAGGAAGAAAGAAGTAGAGAGGAAAGGTTTGGGAGCGAGTGAGAGAGAGAAGGTGAGCAATGGAGGCGGGGGGTGACCTTACCACGCTTCAATGAGGGAACAATTTTTTATACGACTCGTACGTACAGATGATGTATACGATAGCCAGACTAAAGTTTTTGGTGCTATATTTTAAATGTTAAATTTGAATTCTATCTGTTTGGAATTTCAGATTGAGGTTTTGAAGGCAATTCATTTAGGGCTGTTTGGTTCGTTTTTTAACTTGGTTGAAAAGTTTTACAACGTCTTCACATCAGATTTTTCGTGGTCACGTAGGATATAAGCTTTCCGTCGATTTTTTTTCCCATCTTTGGTTCGCTGGGGTTGAAGAAGGGAAACTCTGTGAAAATCGCAGCCACATCAGATTTTTTTTCTCTCCCCAATTCCTTCCTCAACCTTGTGAAATCGACAAAAACTGCAGCCACGTCGGTTTTTTACCATATAAACAAAAGTTTTCCCTTTTTTCCATGCGAACCAAACACAAGAAAAATAAATACATTGGTTTCCCTTTTTTTTTGTGCAAACCAAAGCGAAAACAATCTATTTCTTGGAAAAGTTTGGAAAACTTAAAACTTGTGCTTTTGTACATGGAAATGCATTTCTCTATATCTAGAAAACGAACCAAACAGCCCCTAAGTCAGTTCATAGTTCTAGATTAGTCATTTAATTGAGAAGAAATCTATTCAGTTTTTGTTTCGCTAGATAATCTAGATGCGCATTTAAATGAGTAAGTCTATGTAGATAATTCAATATGTATTTCATGTCTGCTTTAAGATATATACAAAGACGATCTTTAGCCGAGAGTACTTAAATTTTGGGGTTGTTTGGTTCACCATTTAAAAAAAAGAACATGAAAAGAAAAAGTATGTGTCAGAAATGCCCAAAACCATTTCCAACTATTTCCTATATTTATGTTTAGTTCAATTTGAGTTTATGGAAACCAGTTTCTATAAAGTGGAGAAAGTGAGAAAGATTTATAAAACCTACATCCTTGATTTGGGGGGGAATGGTGTGAATTCCATGAAAAATTCATTTTTTGTTAATTTTTTATTACCTTGCCCCTTTCCTCTCACTCACATCTCCTTATAATTTTTTATAATTAAAAACTATCTCATCATATTTCTATAATTTTTTATTGCCTCGCCCCTTGATTAGGGGTTGTTTGTTTCACCCAATTTATAGAAAAGGATTAGTATTTGGGGTCTGACAGTGGCAAAATTGTAATTTTTGAATTCTTTGTGGATTATATTCTAGAGTTTGGCTTAGAAAAAATTTAAGGATTACCAAATCCATAAAGTAGCTACAGTAAGGGTTTTTTATAGAAACCCAAATCGGAGCTTGTGCAGCGGATTTGGGCGAGATTTCTGACGGCGGGCTTCATCTTCGTTTTCGATTCCTAATCCTCACGACCACGAACCCTAGATCTAGAATCGTTGTTCTGCTCCCGCCTCATCGCTCTCTTCTTCGCGCCTCTTCTCCCGCCCTTTGTCTTCTTCTACTTGCGTGGTCGGGGCTGTTACATGAAACCCTAGATTCTCCCGAGGCATGATTTCTTGGTCGATTTTGTGTGAAATCGGCTTCTCCCTATCTGATCCTGCCTCATTTTGCGCCGTGATTTCTTTGATCTATTTTCCACGAGCTTGTTGGCGGGTTTCTTGCCTTTGATTTTTTGGTGATCCCATCTCGAACTTGTTCTGGTTCGGGTGGGATTGTTGGCTACAGTTGGTTCTTTGGCTTCGGTGGGTTTGTTGCTTGGACGTCGGCATTTTTTCCCCTCTGCAGCTAGGTATAAGATTTTGCACTCTTTTTTAGAATTATTTCTTCGTGCTTTATGTGATGAAAGGAATCTGTAGAATGATAATTTTCTTGATAATTCGTTACATGTATAATTACCAAAAAATAGGGTTATGTTTACTAAATTTTAGTTAATTGTGTGAAATAGAATGCATGATATTTGTGTGAATGAGTTGTTTTTTATATATGTGTTTACCAAAGAATGTGAATGCATGAAAAAGAATAGGGTTAAGTTCATTACATGAAAATCCACCGGGTAGTAGAATGTGTTGTTCTTGATAATTATGTGAGATAGAATGCAACATTAGTTAAAATAATTATGGTTACAATTAGATTTCTTGTTTTTTAAGAAATAAATATTTGTATCAATTATCTAATTAATTTTGACAAGAAATAAGTAGACATCTTAAGCTGTAACTGTATGATAATTTTAAAAAGGATGTAGATGGATATGGAAGATGAGGAAGAATTAAAGAGGATGTGTGCTAATACAGCTATCTACGCCGTGGTCACTTTGGTAACATGTATTTTGAGAATGCGTGCTAAGCGCAAGAGAATATCAACTTGTACGGTGGTCACTTTGGTAACATGTATTTTGAGAATGCGTGCTAAGCGCAAGAGAATATCAACTTGTACGAAGAAAGAAAAGATCAGAAAAATATATTGTAGAGAGGCTCACTTCAGACGTGTACTGGAGGGCTATCAAGATAGCTGCCGATCTTATATTAGAATGAGACCGAGGGCCTTTTTTAAACTTGTTGAAGTAATGAAAGCAAACGGTTTATTAAAAGATACAAGACATGTTCAAGTTGAAGAACAGCTTGCTATGTTCCTTAGTATTGTTGGGCACAAAACTAAAAATAGAATAATAAGAACTGAGTTCATAAGATCAAGGGAAACAGTTAGCATGTATTTCAATAAAGTCCTGCAAGCAATGAATGGATTACGTGATCGGTATATGAAGCAAGCCCCAAAATAAGTTCCCGCGGAGATTGCAAACAACTCAAATTATTTTTCCTTACTTTAAGGTAAATTAAATACATACAGCTTAACAATTTTGCACATAAATCACTTTTTATTCAACTATGTATAATTTATAATTTTTTATAGGACTGCATTGGTTTGTTGCTTGGGTTTACTGATGTCGGCTTTTACATTCTGTTGCTTGGATTTATTGCTCCATAGTCACACGTGGTTGTTGTGGGTTTGTGCCTGTTATTTGGAGCTTGTGCAGCTCCTGCTGCTGCTGGGGTTTGCCAACTGTTTTGTTTTGAGCTTGTGTAGCTCCTTGCTTTGTTGGGTTTGTGCCTGTTATTTGGAGCTTGTGCAGCTCCTGCTGCTGCTGGGGTTTGCCAACTGTTTTGAGTTTGAGCTTGTGTAGCTCCTTGCTTTGATGCGTTTGTGCCTGTTATTTGGAGCTTGTGCAGCTCCTGCTACTGCTGGGTTTTGCCAACTGTTTTGTTTTGAGCTTGTGTAGCTCCTTGCTTTGTTGAGTTTGTGCCTGTTATTTGGAGCTTGTGCAGCTCCTGCTACTACTGAGGTTTTCCAACTGCTTTGTTTTGAGCTTGTATTCGATCCTTGCTTTGTTGGGTTTGTGCCTATTATTTGGAGCTTGTGCAGCTCCTGCTGCTGCTGGGGTTTGCCAACTGTTTTATTTTGAGCTTGTGTAGCTCCTTGCTTTGTTGAGTTTGTGCCTGTTATTTGGATCTTGTGCAACTCCTGCTGTTGCTGGGGTTTGCCGACTGTTTTGTTTTGAGCTTGTATTCGATCCTTAAGCTGTTGGGTTTGTGCCTGTTATTTAACAATTTGTGCATCTCCTGCTGCTGCTGGGGTTTGTTGCTGAACTATTTTGAGCTTGTGTAGCTCCTTGCTCTTTGGGTTTGTGCCTGTTATTCCTCAGTTGTGCAGCTCCTGCTGCTGCTGGGGTTTGTTGCTGAACTGTTTTGAGCTTGTGTAGCTCCTTGCTCTTTGGGTTTGTGCCTATTATTCCTCAGTTGTGCAGCTCCTGCTGCTGCTGGGGTTTGTTGTTGTTTTGTTTTGAGCTTGTGTAGCTCCAATCTTTGTTGGGTTTGTGCCTGTTATTTGGAGCTTGTGCAGCTCCTGCTACAGCTGGGGTTTGGTGCTGTTTTGTTTGAGCTTGTGTATCTTTCATGCTCTTTGGGGTTGTGCCTGTTATTTGGAGCTTGTGCAGCTCCTGCTGCTGCTGGGGTTTGTTGCTTGTTTACCCCCTATTTGATGGGTTTGCTGCTATTTTTTAAGAGCTTGTGTAGCTCCTTGCTGCTGGGTGTGTTGCTGTTTTGTTTTTCCTTGCCTGTGGGTTACTTGCTGTTTAGTTTTGAGCTTGTGCAGCTCCTTACACTTGATATGTGGCAATGATGATGATCAGCGTTTACTGAGAATGCAATCTAACTTACATCGTTTATTATATCCAGATGAGGCAAAAGGGAATGAGATTGCAGCCTACATTGAATTGATAATGTCTAGGCGAGACAATTCATCCTTATAATGCAATCTGTAATAAACATGCAAGTTATAGGTGGGGCACCTAATTATGACAAGTTGATCTATTACTGAGCCATACAATATCAATTAGAATTTGTACCCAATTCAAACAACAGTTTTCATTACATCCTTAATAGTTTTTGCAAGTACAGATACATGACATGAAGTTTGTAATAATTAAAATAACACAAAAAATTGCTAATAAAATTACAGAAATTTTCCAAGCTAGTAGTTGATTTTCGACAAGTCTCAATTCTTTCTTCAGCTTCTTTGATTGCAAAATATATTTATCTCCGTACCTATTTTCTTTGACATATTGGCTTCCTTGGTTGCTTGATGACTCTCCTCTTTCTTCAACCCATTCGAAAAAATTGCATTCTTTATTTGGGAACTTTGCACACCCCGAATAACACCTTCCCTTATTTTTACCATTCTTGCATACTTTCATCGGTGTTCGGAGATTGCAGTCGTAATAAACTTCATAATTCTGCCAGCACTCTTCTGATATCATTTTGATGTCGGGGCAACAAATTGAAGACAATGGGAATTTTATAATTGCTGAAAAATGAGAATGCTTGGATTAATTTTGAGGCCTCAAGGTGAATTTATAGCCACCATGCCCCTGAACTAGCTGTTGCTATAGTGTTTTGCCTAAG